AGCAGGACAAACCTTGACAGGAGCTGCTCAGCAGGCCTGCTCCGTAGGCTGTGGCATGCTAGGCCACCCATATGGACAAAATGAATGGACCTTGAGGTGACAATGATGGCAAGTGAAATGAGTGACAGAGTGAAACGGATAACGGATGGTTTCACTTATCTGTGGAATACAAGTAACAAAAAAACAGGTAGTGGCCAGGCAAACTTTGTGAAAAATATACTGGTTACCAGAGGGAACAGGGGCAAGAGAAGGGGGTAGGGCACTGCAGGGGAGTATTGGTGGAGGCCGAATGAAGTATATGTGTGGAGGAGGAAACACGTATGCCCCATTGGCGAAATTCAAGTTAAAAAAGCAATAAGATACAACTATTAGTTTGGCCAAAATCTGGAACACTGACAACACCAAATGCTAATGAGGATGCGAGGCAATAGGAATTTTTATTCACTGCTGGTGGGAACACAAAATGATAGGGCCATTAGAATAGTTTGTCAGTTTCTTACAAAGCTAAATCCACTCTTAACCTACCATCTAGCAACTGTGCTCCCGTGGCATTTACCCAGGAGTCAGAAACTTACGTTCACACACAAACCTGCACATGGATGTTTACTGAAGCTTCATTCATAACCACAAACACTTAGAAGTGACCAAAATGTCCTTCAGTAGGTGAATGGATAGACTGTGATATATCCAAACAATGGATATTATTTAGCACTTTAAAAAAAAAAGAGCTATTTATTAAGCCATAAAAAGACAGGGGAAACTTTAACTGCATCTCACTAAGTGAAAGCAACCAATCTAAAAAGGCTCTATACTATGTAATTCCAACGCCATGACATTCTGGAAGAGGCAAACAGTGGTGGAGAAAATATACAGAACAGCGGTGGTGGGGGAGGGAGGGGTGAATAAGAGGAGCACATAGGATTTTTAGGACAGTGAAACTTCTCTGTATTGATATTCCAATGATAAATGCATGTCATTATACATTTGTCCAAACTAAAGAATGTCTGACACCCAGAGTGAACCCTAAAGTAAAACGTGGATGATGATGATGATGAGTCAATGTAGGTTCACAAATGGTAACAAACGTCTCACTCTGGTGGGGTGGGGGGCGTGGAGGGGTGGGAGTGTTGATAATGTGGGAGGCTGTGCATGTGGAAGGGGGGAGGGGGCATGTGGGAACTCTGCATTTTCCAATCCATTTAGTGGTTCCCTTTCTTTGCTTCCAAAACAACTTGACCGGCTCAGCGGTTTATCACATTTAGCTGTTGTTCCATCTGTCCGTCCCCAGTGGATGCTAAGCTCCTCCAGGGCAAGGAGCACTGGCCATCGTCGTTCCTCTACTATCAAGGATGGCACTTGATAGCAATAGGAAATATATATCCATCGTTTTTACAGTTCTCAAATATACCCCAAAAAAGGCTCAGCCGAAAAAAGAGACTTTTTTTCCCTCCTGAATTTTAAGCAGACTTCAATTTAGACAATTTGACAAAGATTTGAACTGATTCATGTCTTCTCCAAAGTGTTCACTTATCCACACTCAGGCCAAAGTCCCATGGGATGAGGCAGTCAAACGGGACCATTATGTGCTACCACCGTGGAGATGGGTTTTCACTTCATATATTGCCACTATGTTCCTCTAAAACTTCCTTTGGCTCTATTATGCCATCTGTGTACGTTCTGGAACAGTTACAATAATGCCAAAGTCCCACGGAAATAAGATTTCTAAAATGTTATGTAGTTACAGTGAATATGCAGTAAACACTTCACCAAAGTGAATAACAGTCCTTTCCCATTTTAAAAGAGAAAACTACCAAATTGGGTTAATTCACATTAGGGACTAATGGTCTGTAAACTTTCGTTTGAAAGCAAAGCACAGGCAAAAGCTTTGACGAGAGCTATTTCTCACCATAAAAATAAATAAACCTCTTTCAAATAATTCGTTTTTTTTTCCTAAGTCAATTGCCAAGTTTCAAACAAAAATTAAAACCACTATCCAGCATAACCCTTAAAATACGGGCCTTATAAGGGACACGGTAAAACAATCTTTGCGAAGGAAATGTTGCTAGGTACTGACAGTAAAGGGGAGTCTATGGTAAATACTTCACTCGCCAGTTCCAGGGTACTTGTTGACAGACGATACTTAGATTCCATTCTCAATAATATAATTGTGTGTAACGACTGTCATTTTTCACAGGACTTCTGATGTTAAAATCTATTGACGTTCTGGCCTGGGTCCAAATTGAAAAACTGTATTTGCCCTCTGGATCCCACAGATTTTAAATTCATTTTGATAGCAAGTATCCCTGGCAGCAAATTAGAAAGTATTAAAAATAACATAATTTTATATGTTATTTTAATTTAGATTTATGGGATTTCCCTCCTGTAACTGTGCCCCTGTGAACTCTAAGAATATCCTTGTTTGTTCTCCAATTGTTCCCTATGGCCTACAACCTGTATTCAATTCTTTTATCTAAAAGCTATCCAACTGATGTGTTCAAAAGGATTATCAAATATGGATGCACATCAGAAATATTGGGGGGGGGAGCTTTCTAATAAGTTGAGCTTCTTAAACTCTACTCCACACCTTCTGAATTAGTATTTCTGGGGGCAGAACTCATGGCTTTGAATTTTTACATGTCCCCAGGTAACTGTTAGGAAAGAGCTTATCAAATGTCACTGGTTAGAAAACCTCTGCATGACCCAGAGTTTCTGGATCCCACCATTGACAGATAACATTACTGAATGACCTGAGAATGTCCTGAGCAAGTAAATTTCAGCCAATTCCCTTGTTCTTAAACTGAAAGTTATGAATACTAAATATGCAGAAGGAAGCTCAAAAGGAAAAGAGTTTCAATAATTACAATTCTGTAAATAAAATGAAAGGCTCTTAGAAGATTTCATGAAGTTCCTTCTGTCCAACACATACAGTTCTTACACTTCTTGTTGCACTTTCTTCTGCCTTCCGAGATATAAAAGAACTTGTCAATAATTCACTTTGTGCCGTTCTTCCCTGAACTCCTCTGGATAGTATATTTATTAGATGCAAATGACAAAAAATTGCCCCATTCTTAAACTTGTGAAAATAGACCACAGTAAACTGTGTAAATGTACAGATTTTGTCAACACTTCTCTCCTTTTGCCAAGCTAGAAGCTTCCAAATGGCTGTCCGATTCTTCCTTATTTTCCAGGAAAGCAAAGTACACTCCTTGATGTTCTCTACCAAGCTGGGTTAAAGTGACTTTCTAGATCACTCCTACACGTCTCCAAGAGTCACTGGGCTTTTTGAAAACTGCTGATGGTGAGGCTGATTCAGTCTCTCAGATAAGAATTTGGGAGATATCTGGAAAGGGAATCTGTCCTCTTGTTGCTTAAGAACATCTAGGGAGGGCCTGCCCTGGTGACGCAGCAGTTGAGCGCTGGGCTGCGAAGCTGCCCGCAGCCTCTGCAGCGCCGGTTCAATCCCTGGCCGCCAGCAAGGGTCCCACATGGCGTGACAGACCTCTCGTGCTGCACCCGCTGCTCCCCTCAACAGTGTATTTCGTCAGTCTGCCTGTTCTGTTCCCCGCTCTGGTTCTGGTGAATTCTCTCACCCTCCCGCGCTTCTGACTGTACCCAGTGCTTGTATAAAAATAAATAAATAAATCTTTAAAAAAAAAAAAAGAAAAAATAGAAAAGAACATCTAGGGAATCAACTGGGATGGCTCGATTCAGGAAGGAGTAAAGGGGGAACAAATTTAATATACTGGCACCCAGATAAAGGTAACAAACCTGACAGAAATAGGCAATGGACTTAAAAAAGGTCCTTGGGGACAAAAGAAAAACAGCTATTAATGATACTAAAGCCAAACACGGACTGGACATCAGTCACAAACGGGAGTTTGAAAATCTAGTTACTAATGGAGAGAAGGAATTTCTTTTTTATATAAATTTTACTAATTCACTGAAAATATAAGCTGGAGATAGGCCGAGTCCTTGTTGAACATCTGAAGGCAATGATTCTAATATCTGAGCCAACTCCTCCATCGGTCATATTTTATATGCACAGACAGCAAAACCAAGTCGGTCAAGGCATTTTTATATAATTTCTAACCTACCTTGTAGATGGAAAACTGAAGTCAATTATGATTAGAAATGAAACTAGTTTAAGACCAAATCAAGGGCAGTAGGGGGATACTTATTTGAGGCAATCCAGCAGAATTTGTATTTTCCACAGGCCCTGGAGGTCGCCTCCAGTCCCAATACCGACCAACAAATTACTGAATTGATATTCACTGACACACAACGTAAACACTCTGCAGGTGACTAATAAGAAAAATGTGTCAATTTGCCTTTATTTTTTACAGGTAATAGAAAAGTTGTCAATGTGATTTTCAGGTCGGAGAAAAAGCCCATGCACTTGTCATGACATTTTTGAAATACTTTCAAGTTATGTAACAAAGCTTTCCCCAGCCCCATTAAGCCCCACCGTGCCTATAAGTCTTGTGTGAAGGTTAGAGGCAGCACCTGATCATCTGGGCTGAGGTGCCCATACGCTCTTAGGATAAGTCAATAAAAGAACTCCAACCCCATCCCTCTCTTTCAAAATGAACCTAGGCTTTTAGTGAACAGCGGAGACACACTCCAGGTCTATTTTTTTGTGGTAATATCTGGTTTTTGTAGGCCCAATGATTACGTTGCCTATGCTTACTTTATTACAATTACTAAACTCTATAGAAAATAGCATTTTCAAAATATAGCATTTAAAGAGTCCTTTCTGTACTGCTCCTCCCCCAAAGCCCTACTTTAATAGAGAACAATGCGAGACAGGCCATGGGGCCAAAGCTGGGGATTCCTGAGCTGCCGCCCCTCATGCAGGGGATGCCTGTGCTCACAACAGCCCCCACGGCCTGCTTCAGAGACAGCGGTGTGATGCTGCGTGAACAGCCTGACACAGTAGGTCTGGCTTTTATGATGCAAATTTCCACTTTAAACTCAAAGGTAATTACAGTATTTTAACGTACCTTTCTCATGATCGGTAATAAGTTTCTCCAGTGCACAGTCCACATCAAAAATGTACCGGTAAAAGCACAGCTGGGTGTACAGGGTCTTGTCAGAATACTGCAATATAACAGAAAATAAATGAATACTACTATTGGGGAGGGGGGGAGAGATGGAGATCACTCTCAACAGTGTATTCCCTAATTTCAACTTCCATATCAAGCAGCTTTTTTTTTTTTTTTAAGAAGCGGGGTGGGTGAGAGGGAGAGAATCATACTAATGGTTTGTCCGCCTCATATAGCACACATACCTTTCATAATTCAGAACAAATCCTGCCACTTCGATCATAGATTACTACTTGCGAAGCTGCAGACTGATTACCCCTGCTGTCAAAAAACTGATTTTGTCAAATTGCAAATGCCTATGCACCCTTGACAATTTGCACTGTTAATTGGGAAAAGTGGTAGTATGCTTCCTAACTGGGACCTGTCCGTGCTAGCAGGAAGTTAAACAATTCCTAAAAACTGTTTAACGTGTACTGCTATACTATGAGCCCGATTTTACGACTTGTGCCAACAATTTATGCCATAGCCAGGGATTGGCTCACAGATACAACGTGGTGAAGCTCAGACTTTGAGGAACACTGTGACCACTTCCTTTGTGCTAACCCTCACTGGACAACCTCTGAGAAATACCAAGTGAAGTAAGATAAGGTTTTTTATCCCACCCATGCCAAAACAAAAGTTTAATGAGTTTGGCCAAGTTCCAATTCAGCAAATCATAGATGTGTCTGAACTAGTATTCATTCAGCAAATAGGTACACAACATGGATGTGCCTGAGCTCATCTACTATGTATTCCCCTAACCTGCTGTATGTCACTCTGTGTGGGGAAAAAACACATGCACTCAATTCAACAACTGACGTGAGAATTAATTGGTGGATCACATACAAATGCACTTCTATGTTTAACATTTCTTTCATTTTTTAACTGAAGTAACATTGCATTATAGTATCATGTACATAGTATCATGTATCATATATAGTATAGTATCATACATAGTATCATGTATTATTTCAGGTGTACGTCACTACACTTGTATTTATTTTCAATCAAGAGCCCTAAGAACTTTAGTTCCTTCTTCCTTGGGAAACCCTCAAGCCCAGGACAATGAGCTAGTGCTTTGGTGTTTTCTTTGGTGTGGCGGTGTACTGCTAAGATGAAACACCAAAACCCTGAGAACTTTTCAAATGAGTGGCTCAAATGACAAATATGTTACCAGTTCTCACTTGCTGCCTCAAATGAACATGCAATCTCACCAACATCAATTGAGCGCCTACTGTGTGCCACGTCAGGCACCAGTGACAAGGGACATACAGCTAACTGACACAGTAAACACTCTACAGATGTCGGCTGAATGAACTGATGAAAGACCACAACGACCAAGGTATTTGTACAATCCATGCAGGAGGGTCAGTTGGCACCCACAGAAGGAAGGGAATCTCTTCAGGGAATCAAGTATTAGACACAAGGATCCTAGCTGGCTCTCAATGATGAAAACCTCCGGTCAACTCAACTGCGTGCAGCAGTAACTGAAATTCAGTTATTAGAGCTCAACAATTGACCTTCCTGCTCACTCCATTATAAAATCTGTTACTAAATTTGGTGTATCTAAACTTCTTTGGCCATTACAAATGGTATCTATAAATATGAGGCTGCAGGAATAAACCCACAAGGAGCTTATTCATCAGCCAGGGCTATTGTCTTCTTGTGCACATTCCTTCCACGAATCTCTCTTTCTCTACCTGAACCTATTTTAAAAAGTATACACCTAGAAGCCTATTTTATTTCTTATTAGCTATTCTACAATATGCATCATCATTATACTATTATACACCAGTTATTTTTAGCGAATCCTGATTACTGCTTCCTGGGGGAAAAAAAAGGAGGACGGCAGCGATTAAGTTATTTGTTTAGTTTTTTAGATTCAGCAGTAATTGCTGGTACACATCTCCCTGACTGCACACATGCTGCAGGTTGAATAGAACACTGAAATTACCTCCTTCATAATAGTTTGTTTTGATAATGTATTGTGTGTCGAGATGATGAGAAACAGTTGCTGTCAATTTGATTAGCCATTATATTTTTATGTTAATTGCCATTATTGGGTCCATTCTGTTTAGTGTCACCATAGAAGCCATACAATGTTAGCATAAATAACAAATTGGAGTAAATTAGGAAGATATATTTTTGCCAATTCATTTTAATTGCCCCTCAGTCCTTCCGTTGGTTAACGCAGCTGTTGACCCATAATAAGCGCTGGGTCAATATAGCTGCTTGTCAATTCAGAAATGCAAAGTGCTGTGTTGCTGGTAATGGATATACAACAACCTTTGCCAGCCAACTGAAGCAAACGAGTGACAACCCACATGAAGGAATAAAGCGTCAGCCACGGAGTTTAGTGACCTGATATTAGTAGGCAGGCTAATTGAAAGTCACTGCCTAAATGGATAAGGAAAATAGGAGAAAAAAATTAAAAAGGAGTTATATATTTTTAAAAAATATACCAACACCTCCTGCCCTTTTGGTTCCTGACATATTTTGCAATTAGTAAACTGGTTGAAAACAAAAGGCCCTAGTAGATTTTCAATGTCAAATACAATTAAGTGGTTTTAAAGAATACACACAAAATGGAGAAAACCATAGTTTAAATGAACAAGAGTAACACCTACTTTTGTTTTCTTGATTTTTGCACCATTAATTTGAGATCACTTCGGAGCACCTTTTTTTATTGTTACCATCTTTTCTCTTTTGCCTTTGATGATAAATTCTTCTAATCAAGAAACCTGACACCCTCTAGTCTTCTCTGAGATCTTCAGCAGGTTTTTTCCCCCTACACTTAAATGCTCATTTTGACTGTACAAGATTGGATGGAAAATACTTCAAGAAAATAAGATGATATTTTAACATTTCTTTCTCTCTCCAGCTTTCACTTATTGGTTTAAAATGTTCGATTTCTTGCTCTTCCCTTGAAAATTGCACTCAACACAGTGCCTAGGTTTCTTTCAGTCTGCCTTTATAGTTAGAACATCATGTACCAAAGTGGCCGATTGTGATTTAGTAAGGACAATGCTGAGCTGAAATAGCTACTGCGTGTATCATGCTCTGCATTCAAGTTAGTTGCCGGGACTGTTAACAGAGTAATGAGTGCGGGTCCCATACATACACAGTGGTAGGGAAGGAAATCTGCTTTGATGTACCTGGCAGAAGCAGTCCTTAGCAAATGGTGTGGGAGAATGAAGGGGCAAGTTCTCATGCCACTGTTTTTGATGTGTTCTTTGGATGCCCCACAATCAGATTACATTATAAACAGTGCAAACTCTCCAATCTGAAGTACTTTCAAATGGAACCATAGTTCTGTTTCCATTGATCTTAGGGCCGAGGTGTCTCTCCTGAGATTTCTGATAAGGTTTTTGAGTATTGGTTCTTTACCCATTGGACCTGGCAATCACCTGGGAAACTTTTCAAAAATACTGCTGCTCTGACCTCACCCCCAAAATAGTTTAGAATGGAGGGTGGAGTGCTGGGGATGGGCATTTGTTCAGGGGTTCCAGGTAGTTGTAACGGATAGTCTGAAATAAGAACTGCTGTGCTATGTCATGCCGGTATTGGAAACACTCAGAACCATAGGCTCTGACCCCTCCAACCTGGTTGGAGATAAAGGAAAACAGAAGTTTTTATGACACCTTTCTGGAAAATGATGCTTGCTTGTTCAAGCAACTTGTGTCAAGATTAGGATAGGGTGTATTTCCCCTAACATTAAATATAAGGCACTGTCAAATCTGACTTGCATTTTTGCCTTTTGTTCTTTTTATTGAATTAAAATCTATAGACCAAAAGTGTAGAAATAATAAGTGTACAGCTCTGTGATCAGCATCAAGAACAAGAAACAGAATGTTACCCCAAAGCAGCCCCCATGTTCCCTACCAGGATAACAATAGATTTGCCTTAAAAAAACAAACAAACAAACAAACATGGAATTGCAGTTTGTACTCTTTCTTCTAGTTTCTTTTGCTCAACATTACGTTTGTGAGATTCACCCATGCCACTGCATGTGGCAGGAATTTATTCTCATTGCCATCAACTATTTCACTGGAGAATGAATTCATCCATTCTATAGAGGAAAGGCACTTAGGTGGTTCCCAGTTTTTTGGCTATTAAGAATGGTGCTGCAGTAAACATATTTGTACATGTCCTTGAAACACACACACACACACACACACACACACACACACACACACACACACACACACACACACACCCTCTTCTGCTGACTACATTCCCTAAATGTGGAAACACTGGGTCACAGGACATGTAAATGTTTAGCATTAGTAGGTATACTGCCAAACTCTTTCCAATGTGGTAGTATCTTTTCAAGTGATTTTCACTTGAACTGGTTTGTCATTATAGTCTTTTAGTCAATACTTTAGCTTTCTAAGATTTTTTTCAAGATTTATTTATTTATGCATACAAGAGTTGGGGTACAGGCCAGAGGTGTGGAGAATGGGAGGATGCACCACAGACAGAGTGGGGAACAGAACAGGCAGACTGACTGAAATACACTGCTGAGGGGAGCAGTGGGCGAGTCAGGAGAGGTATGCTGCGCCACGTGGGTATCTCCCCGACCAGGGATCGAACTTTTGTGCTGCAGTGGCTTCGGACAGCTTCATAGGTTGCATCTTAATCCCCTGCGCCACCAGGGAGGCCTAAGATTTTTTTTATGATAATGTAACCAGCCTTCTCTCTTTGTTTTCACGGCCTCTATTCCCCTCGTTTGCAGGCTTATGGAAGGGACTTGCTAAAACTACCTCTTTATCAATTTGAAACAAACAAATCTTGTCCCTGAATTAAATTTCTTGAGTTATTTAGAGTGGGGCTGATGACCCTAGAGATTATCCACAGCAAAACCTTAAACTCAGTATCTCCCTGGTACAACTGAGAACATAGCAAGGCCTGCTTCTCACAGCAACTGGTAAATCTCATAGAGAAGTAAATCTGATCGATATCATACCAGTAAGGAAACTGGGCTGCCCCAAACCCCATTAACATATCCAAAGAGCA